CCCCCCCACCCAAGATTTGAAAGTATCTTGTCCCCTTATTGGTCCTTTGGGTCAGATGCCAGCCAGGTTACCTGAGCTTCTTAACCCTGTACGGGGAAAAGGATTTTGGAGTCACTGGCCAGGAGGGATTTTATAGTACTGTACACAGGACAGCTGTTACCCTTCCCTTTATAGTTATGACAACAGTGTAACCTTCCAAACAATTTAAGGACTGCATCTGTCTCTTAAAATACCATTGATGAGATCAGAACACTGAAAATAGAAGGAAAGACGTGAGACAATGCCTCTCTGCCAGTCTGCTCTCCTGGGTTGAAAGTCAGGTTCTTCATTAAGTCTTTTTAGTTCATATTTACAAAAAACACTACCACCACAGCAAAAGGAACTTCCTACATTTCTCAGCCCAAAGCAATTAATTCAGTCTCCATGAACCAAACCTAGGCCTCAATCCTGCAGTTTTTTGCATGCTTACAGACTGCTTGCACCCCACTAAGCCCCACCAAGAGCAACAGGGCTCTGCACAAATGCAACAGTCCATCCACATGCAACAAATTGCAGAATCAGTGCCCTAATTTCTTGCTCCCCTATTATTAACTATTAATGCTGGATGGCCTTTTTAAACCAAATTAACAATAATTTGTTATTAAAAAGGATTTGAAGTCTCGGGAGGGTTAAGTCATGATAGTTTTTGTAGTCAGTCTACATTAATCTTATCAGATCCAGTTTTTCATGTCAAGAGAGGCTGGGAAATCTCTCTGGAATGCCACACAGAGTCACACAGAACAGAGTCAGCAAAAGGCACCAGACAGAAAACTAATACCTTCTTATTATCTAAAGATTTTGGCACCAATTTGTATAATCTACTTTACAGCTATTAGAGAGCAAGTGTCAAAAGAAGCTAAATCTTCCAGTTATCCATTTTTGCCTTCCCAAAGGCAGTCTGATAAGTGTACACTTTCTCTTTATTTCAAGGTTTAGAAATGACATTTGTTGTCTTGGTACCTAAGTCCCTAGAAATTAAAACAAAATCAAAAGGTGCAAGAGTTAAAACCTCTATTTACCCTGTTGCAGAAATAATCCCATCAGCAATGCAGAGGTGTAGCCAAATGGGTGATCTTTACACAAGGTTAGCATTGGAATCTCCAGGCTCTTGGAAACTCCTTTCTGTGATCCGTAGAAATCAGTAGGTGAAATTCACCCCTGTGCAGAAGACCAGCTTCAATTCCTATACATCACTCAAGTGCAGTTAAGCCCTTAGAGTAAAGTTCTGTGCAGAGGTATAGCACAATTTAAATCTTCAAAGTAGGGCATAAGTGTAATTTAAGTGGTATGTTGGTTTATGCTGGTACTCTGCAAAAGGGTGAGTTTCACCCCAGATGAAGAGCTTTGATTGTGGCAAACTGAAGTAAAGTTCCTTTCAGAACAATTTCTTATGTTGTTTTTCTTAGGGAAACCTATTGTATTTTCCTTTAGCCCCTATTCCCCCCCCCCCTTTGCATTTTCACAGCAGGCAGCATCTACAGGTAAACAATTGTTTGTAGAAATCAAGTTTCATTATCATATCAATGGAATGTAATATACTAACAGACTTTAAACAATCCTAATAATAGAAATCCAAAAATTGTCAGATTATTCAGAGTATTTACAGTATTGACGGGGCCTCTGAATGTGTGAATAGTCAGACTTGAACTCTTCCAAGACTAGAGCAAGTTCAAAGCCCTGGTATGTCATTTGAAATGTAATTTTTCCTAGCATTGAAGTAAGGTTTTTGATTTGACTTATGACCCCAAAGTCTGATGGTTTGATAGTCAGTATCTTTCTGCCAACCATGGTAGGAGAAAAGCTCCATTGGCACAGTCACCAAGAAATTTTTGGGGAGATCAGGGCGGGGAGTCATTTTGATCTGAATTTAGGGGTAGGTGGGACTTAGTTTGGCTTTGACCCCCTTCAGGCTCCCCAGGCATCTCTGGACAGATTCCCTTCTGTGTTTCCCCTAGGCACTTCCCCAGTGGCAGAATTTGTCTGGTGCTTGTAGTCTCCAAGAACTTCTCTTCTTAGTCATTATAAATACATGCATTAAATTTCCCTCGCACTGTCCTCCTTTCACTGCCTTCCTTCCCATGTGTCCTCCAAATCCCATCACTCTCTTCTTCCTGCACCAACTCCCACAGCATCTTTTCCCTCCCCAAACTACCTCACTCTCCTCGCTGCCCACCAGTAGCCCAGAATCTCCTACCTCTCCCTGATAACCATCCTTAATCTCTTTTCCCTATCCCAACCCCTCTTTCCTCTCACTCTTTTCTACCTCCCACAAAACCTTCTGACTCTGTCAACTCTCCCTCCCCAAATCCCTTCACACTACACTCTCTCTCCCCCTCCATCATCTCCCTTAAGTTTCTGCTACAGCCATGCTGCCTCCATCCCTTGTCCCACTAGCTCCTCTATACTGTTCCTAATCTCTGCTTCCCCTAATCTGTTTGCCCCCTCCTTCATTCCTCCTGCCTAACCCAGCTTTGTGGATCATAGTGTTGTTCCTGTGATTTTCTAGATCCTTATGACATTTAGCATTGCAACACCTAAGTCCTTTTGTAGATTCCACCCATTGTCCTTAAATTTCCATAATAGTTCATTACTTAAGTTGCCAACATGTAACACATCAGACCATTTTCCCAAGTCCAGTGGTTCTCAGCTAGGGGTCTGGGGAACCCTGGGAAACCACAAGCAGGTTACAGAGGGTCCGCCAAGCAGGGCCAGCATTAGATTTGCTGGGGTCCAGGGCAGAAAGCCAAAGCCCCACCACATGGGGCTGAAGCCCGGGGCTGTGAACCCCACCATCCAGGGCTGAAGTCAAAGCCTAAGCAACTTAGCTTTGTGGGCCCTCCTGTGGCAAGTGTCCTGCTTGCTACCCCTGTAATGCCAGCCCTGGCTTTTATATGCAGAAAAACAGTTGTTGTGGCACAGGTGGGCTGTGGAGTTTTTATAGCATGTCGGCGGGGGAAGAGGGGGGGACCTCAGAAAGTAAAAGGTTGAGAACTCCTGCCCTAATCAAACACATTGCACATAATTGCATGACTATTGTATTGTATGTTAAATCTCTTTGAACTTCAGAAGAGATTCCTGACCTCTTTGATTACAATTGTATCTTCAGCATGTAGTGGAGTTTACAGGCAGATACTTTCTCAGAATGCAACCTCAAACCTTTCAGAGTGCAGACATCAGACTGATATTTCCCGCAAATGTGAAATGCTATTCACTCCTTTGATGTAGACCTAAATTGTTTACCAGGTTCCCCAGCTTCTCATTTCAGCCTCCCTCACCAGGTGTGAAGGGTTAGTCTCTTGAGATCTCAAGAGCTATTATAAATAAGTAACTACCCCATCCTGCTTTTTTCCCCATGTAAAATGAACTTTCAACAACCCTAGGAGCTCTTGTTGTGATTTTGATAATTTTGTGTTAAGTATTATGAAGCATCTCCACACAGACACACATTAATTAATTCAAATTGGCTTGGAAATGAGTGCTGCCAAATGGATTGCAAATGGGCTGAAGGACTGTAAACTCAGGATAATGATCAATGTCAGTGTGTCATCTTGTGGGGAGGTATACAGTCAAATGTAACAAGGATAACAGGAGACCCAGTAGTCTCATTTAACATTTGCATTAATGGACTGCAAAAGGGAGGGGAGTTCACAGCTGACGCTAAATTGGCAGATGTTGTGAGCATCAGTGAGAATAGAGAAAATAATGCAAAGGACCAAGAGAGATTAGAAATACAGGCAGGAAGTAAAATGAGATCCAGTTTGGAAATATGAAAGCTAATAATACTCATCAGGATAAAAATAATCTGGACTACAGATACTGTGTTTAATGGGAAGCAGCTGGAAAGCAGTAATGCTGAAAGAGATCTAAGGGTGGCTACAGTGAATTAGGTGCAAGTTTGCAATGGGATATGACAACAACAACAACAAAAGCCTGTGTATTTTGGGAATGCATAAGCCAAGCATCTTCCCAAACACACCAGTGTCCCTCTTTGCATACAGCTATAGGAAGCACAAATCTAGAGTACTGTGTTTAGTTCTGGGCAGCCCACTGCCAGAAAGATGTTCACTAGCTGGGATGGAATTCAAAGAACAACAAAAATAGTTAGGAGTCTGTCTATAGGAGTTGACAGACTGTGGAATAGTTTCCCAAAAGAAATGTAAAAGCTGCATCCCCTGAATTTGGACTAGGGAAAAAAAGCTGAAAAATATATTGCTGGTAACAATACTGCATTGGTCTATTACTTGACCTAAAAAGACATTTCCCTCTTT